TAAGTCAATTATTCTCCTTCTTCATAATAATACGTCATTTGCATATTTCCCTTCATGTGTCTGCAATAATGGACTTGATATTTCATATTGACAGAACTCCACCTTTCAAGAGTACTGTGGTTATCCAGGATTTGGGATCAATTGCTCTCAAATCAATTCAATTCTGTAAGGGAGATTAATGACAGTGGCTACTCCCTTATCTTACTCTAGATGGCGACTTGCCATTGCAATATTCGGAGCTTGATATGAACCTTAATTTCTACTCTCTCTGTCCTAATTTATGAGACACTTTTCATTTTTGAAAGTCCGGCGGGGTGCCTGTCACTTTCTTCTCCTCTATCTTCCAAATTCCTCCGTGACCAAGTCAAATATAAGAAATACAATACAGTATTTGGTTGAATACACAAGTAAACCACAATTAGTTTGCAATTCTTCAAACATCAAGTCCCAACAATGCAATTGTTCTTCGTCTCTCTTCTTCTTCTGTTCATCATCAACTCCAGTAGAGCTGATAATACTACGCCATTTGGTTATTGCCCTTCATCTGTTTGCGATAATGGACTCAATATTTCGTATCCTTTTTGGAGACTTGACAAGTACAACTCTGCCTCTCCACAATACTGTGGTTATCCAGGATTCGGGATCAATTGCTCTCAAACTGATTCAATTTTGTACATTTCTCATGATTCTTTCAATGTTACGAAAATTGACTACGATAACCTCTCCCTTACCGTGGTGGATATTGATGGTGTTGATCACAGAGGATGCCCGAGAGTACATCATAACCTTACTCTGAATGACGACTTTCCATTGGAATATTCAAAGCTTGATTTGTATCTGAATTTCTATTACAACTGTACCGTTTCCCTTCCAGATTCTGCTTACCCGTTAGATTGCTTAACATCAAGAGGAAACAATTCATATTATTACATTAGGGATTATGAGCCGGAAGATTTGAAGTGGTATGGAATTTGTGAGAAGAAAGTGGTGGTGCCGGTGATGTATGGTGTGTTCAATAGAGGAGTTGGTACAGCGATTGGAGAGGGATTCGTACTAGACTGGCAGATCGCAAAGGAGTGCAGAAAGTGTGAGGCATCAGAAGGGCGTTGCGGTTACGACAATTCAACACACGAGTCGTTGTGCTTCTGCAATGATGGCACCATAAAGTTTGATACCTGCACCACCGAATCCCAAGGTACGAAATTTTAACAATTTTTTTTTAAATATAATTCATCACTAGACTAATTTAGTAGATTTAATTTATCAGAATATCTACGTTATTTTCAGATAGATAGGCTTGCCACAAAAATTAAAGCAGGAAATACTCTCAACCTAAGCACTCATGTATTGTCGTCAATTGACAGCCAAACATGGGACGAGCATTCAATCCATCAATTAACAGCAAAATTGATATAATAATTATACATTAAGCATAATCTTGGGTAAAAACTTGAGTTTAAAAGGCCCATATTTTGCTTTTCAAGAGCTCACATGTCAAAGCTAAATCACAGTAAACTAGCTAGTTACAAAATTAGAATTACAAATTTCATTATATTAAAACTGCAACAAATACATTCTCATTATTGTGTCAAATTTTGGGAGTATTTCTTCATCTCCTTGTCTCTCTCTATATGTATGTATATTCATATTCAATTAACTGAATGCCAAAAATTTCTTTCATTGATCACTTCCTCATCATCCAAACAAACAATTTGATATTCTTTTCATCCTATTGGAGGAGAAGAGTCAAGTCAATGATAATGTGACTGTATGAAGTCGTCTCATTAACCAATAATTTCTTTACAATTTTCAAACTCAACTTGTCTTCCTTTGGCTACTTTGTCAAACTCTCTATTAGTTTGGAGGGCAGGAGTCAAGTCAATGATAATGTAACTGTATGAGTTGTCATTGATTTTTTAAGAAAGAAAATCGACGCACTTTCGTCGATTGTTTTTCACGCAAAAATATAGAGAAACTTTAAAAAAGAAATTGTTATTTTAAAAAACGGCAAAGGGCCAAATATATCCCTGCATCGCCTTTTGCGCATGCATAAAGATGTCTCCTTGTTTTATATGTCACTCGATGACTTGAGTAGGAGCTTTCCCTTTCTTTCCCGTATTGCGTGAAGCGGAAAGGGACAGCGGAAGACCACACCAGACAGGGAAAACGAGGATTAGATATTTCATCAACCACCACCCGCCAGAAGCAGAACCCCGTATTTCTTCTAGAGAATCTCCTAATTGTTCCAGAGCAACCCTTCTCAGCAAGCTCTTTCAGTTGTTGGATGCGCAAAAACAACCTATTCCCCTTTACGATGACTCGGTGACCTTTGACACGTTACACCTGGTTGCACGTAATCGTTTTCTCACCAAATAGCAGCTGCACCGATGAAACAAGGGAGTTCTTTCGCAGAGACAGGGGAAAACAATCATTCAATGAGGGTATAGCATTCCCTCACGCTTGGCGCCAATGAGGTTTTTATTTGAGAGAAAAAAGAAGACTATGCCTTCGCCGTATATGAAATAGTTTAAATATACCCCTAGTTATACTTTCGGATTAAATATATCCCTCCCGTTATACTTTCAGGTTAAATATATCATTATAACTAACAGAGGACATGTGAAAGCCTAAGATTAAATGAACTATTCAATTTAAAATAAATTAAATTAAATTCGGATATAACCTGCTCCGTCCCAATAGTTTAACCCGACCTAATTATAACATTTGACCCACCCAAGTTTATGATCGGGAAGTTCCACAAAAATTGGAAGCAACTCATTCTGGCACTTATGTCTTGGTGCAACACCAGGGTTGAGTAATCTATTTTGGTAAGAAGAAAAAGAAAACCATTGTTACTCCAAATCCGTTACTCTTCTCTACAAGTTTCTATGCATCCTATCCAGAAACCCCTTTTATAGCTTTGATCATTGATGCAATAGGAAAAGTGAGGAAACTGAACAGAAAATCGACAAATGAATCCCTTGCTTCAACAAACAATATCTTGTTTAATAGTAGCTTCAGGTTTATTTTTCTGGAGTTAACAGTAAGCAAGTCAGTATACACTTGAGAAATTCTTGGCTCAGTCATGATGTTGTTGTCAACTATTATTTTCTAATTAATAAACTCCTCATTTAAGGGAGATTTTGAGATCAATGAACAAGTGAGCAGTCTTAATATCTTGACAAAGAAAAACGAGGAAAATGCCTGTGAGATAACATGGAAGAGTCAATTCTCAACACATAACCTGAATTACAATTTATTCACTAAATAGATCTCCTCTTTAGTTTTTCCCCTTTCTATAACATGAAATTGATTTCTCATACCTTCATAAATTGGGTGGGTCAATGTTATAATTAGGTCGGGTTAAATTATTAGGACGGGCGGCTTATATCAGAATTTGATTTATTTTGAATTGAATAGTTCATTTAATCTAAACCGTCCACGTGTCCTCTGTTAGTCAAAAGGGTATATTTAGCCCAAAAGTATAACGGGAGGGATATATTTAAACTATTTCCTATACTACATGGGTATATTTGACCCTTTGCCGTTTAAAAAAAATCAATGATCATCCGTCAATTTTATTTTTTTTACAATAATTAACGGACGAATACCGATTTTTAAAATACAAATTGCAGTTGAAGAACATATATAAAAATAAAGAAATCATAAAATCAATATTTTGTGTTTAAGTGATACATAAAAAATAAAGTTGCAGGGTTGAGTTTTTATTTTTATTTGTTTAAGAAAAAATACTTTTTTTTGGTTTACTCTCACCTCTGCCGCATCACTTAGAAGTGTCTAAATGGAACATGAAAATTGGAATTGAAGGGTTGAGTTGAAGTTCCAAAATGAAATATAGGGTCAAATTTAAGGGCCTGCATACATGTTTGGCCGAAATATTTGATGAATTGTGTTCAAGTATGATTCCAAACCTTAATTTCCTTATACCAATATCTTTTGTCCTGTTTCTCATACTCCCTTTGTCCTTTCTTCTTGTTTTAGACATCATATATATGAACTTTCAAAGCCTATTCATGGTTGAGAAATCTGTTTCTGTTTCTGTTCTTGTCATTGTCGTTCTTTTCTTCACCCTGCATTACACATGATTGTCGTAATGGAGTGATTAGTGAATATATCATACCATCCTACTGTGGCTTACCAGCTTATAATGTCACCTGCAACAAACATAAGCCATTTCTTCATAATGCTGAAGAGGAATTTATCATTAAGGAAGTATTTTACACAAACAACTCTATTCTGCTAGCCAAAGCAGACGTGTTTGATGAAGACAACACATGTCCAGTACCAAGACATAATTTTAACACAAGTGGTACTCCATTTTTCTTGGCGCATAACACTGCATCTCTCTTCTTCTTTTATGACTGCACTCAACCTTGTGAAAGGGAGACATATGCTGTCAATTGTGCCTGAAATGCCACTACCCATTCTTTTGCGGTTTTTTCATACTGAGCTTCTGGAGCACTATAACTATTCTAGATAGATTGCTAAAAATGAATTACGACACACAAGTTCTGCAAACGGGATTCTTTCTGCAGTGGGATGGGACTAATTGTAGAGATTATCAGAATAGTGGAGGGCAAAGTGGTGTTCAAAGTAATGAATTTATGTGCATTTGCAAAGACCAAACCCCAACCAAGAATATGTCTTCATGGTAAATCTAGAAACTATATCCATTTTCAGGCATAGGTGATGGATTACTTGTACTTTATTGAGATGCATTATTATTATTATTTGGTATCAGATTACCACCTCCCCTTTATGTCTCAATTTCAGGAAGAAACAGACCCGGAATGAAGACTGTAATAGGTGATTATTGTTTGAATTTGTTCACCTTAATTTATCTTATTATCTTCCTTTTCTTAAGAAAATTCCAATAAACATTTCTTCTTGTTTCCTTATATAGGATTCATAGCCGCAATAGGGACTGCAATAGTTGTAGTCTGCGTTTTGACTTGCTGCTTCGATCAAGGAAAACAAATAAAATTTCAAAAAAAGAAGATCATAATGTAGAGGCCTTCCAGAGGCAGTATGGATCCCTAGCATCAACGGCGTATAGCTATTCAGACATCAAGAAAATGACAAATTCCTTTAAGGAGAAACTTGGAGAAGGAGGTTACGGAGGGGTCTACAAAGGTAACCTTAATGGTCATCCTGTTGCTGTGAAGATCTTAAAAGAAACAAAGGGGAATGGAGAAGAATTCATTAACGAAGTTGCAAGCATCAGTCGAACTTCTCATGTCAACATCGTTACTCTGTTGGGATTCTGTTTGAATCGTAAGGAGAAAGCTCTTATTTATGAATTCATGCCAAATGGATCTCTTGATAAACACATATACAACCAAGATTCTAACATGGGATGGGAAATGTTATACAAAATTGCACTTGGGATAGCTCGAGGATTGGAATATTTGCATAGAGGATGCAACTCCCGAATTTTGCATTTTGACATAAAACCTCACAACATTCTTCTGGATGAGGACTTTTGTCCTAAGATATCTGATTTCGGTTTAGCAAAACTATCTACTCGAAAAGAGAGCATAATGTCCACACTAGAAGCCCGAGGAACCATTGGTTACATAGCTCCAGAGGTGTTCAGTAGAAACTTTGGAGGAGTGTCCCACAAATCTGATGTTTACAGCTACGGAATGATGGTTCTTGAAATGGTCGGAGGAAGAAAGAACTACAGTGCTGAAAGAAGCCATAATAGTGAAATATACTTTCCGCGTTGGGCTTATCAACGAATTTTGTTAGATGAAGAACTAATTATAAGAGATACGATGACAAATGAAGAAGAGGAGATTGCAAAGAAAATGATATTAGTTGGCTTGTGATGCATCCAAACAGATCCCCTACAAAGGTCAGCCATTGGTAAGGTAATTGAAATGTTAGAAGGTAGCTTAGAGGTCATGCAAATGCCACCAAAACCTTTCATATGTTCTCCTTCACAATCAGAAGGATCGACATTGGAGCGACCAACAAAGCCACTCTTATTTTCTACTTTGAGTTCGACGCTCGAGTCTACAGACTCAACAATTGTACAATTTGAAGAGTAAGTTTGTGGACAATATTGGGTTATAACATATATATATATATATATATATATATATATATATACATATATATATATAAGAGTAATATTCATGACCAAAGATTAACAGAAGGCAAATATGAGCCATTTTGAATACAGTTTGGTCCTTTTTTATAGAAAACATGATTTGGTTCAGTAAATGTACACTTTGGTTAAACATGTAGTGACTTACTAGAAAATACAGAAAAGGCTCAAAAGTGTTCTTACCTATTAGAAATGGTTTCAAAATGTTCTCCTTTCATCTATTAATTTAAACGTTTTCTTTAGATTAAAAATGCCTTTTCGATAACAGAAATATGATGCGGAATTTAGCTTAACAAGTGGTCAATTTTTATTGATCCACATATTTTTTATCAATTAAAAACACTCAACCCAACCCAATCTTCATTGGAATTTGAACTTTTGCTTGACCATTGTCTATACCAAACTCTTTTCTTCAACTTTTTCTCAATTTTAAATGGAGGAAATAATGATATTTTGAACATGAGTTTTAAGAATATGGGAGTCGTATTCTCTTGGTACTACGATCTCTGACTGAATCACTTCTGAAAAGGATTAAAACTACTGCAGTCTCTTCTGAATTTAGAACTATTGCAAACTTCATACTACCTCTTCCTAATTACTTGTTCATTTTCAAACTGACACATCCTATTAAGAAAATAATGATTGACTAGTGAGTTTATTATTTTATTTCTATTTATTATGAATTGGATGAATTAAAAATTTAAAATTTTCAAGAAATTCTATAAAAAATTGTCTTTTCTTGATTTGTCAAAATTAGACAAGTAAAAAAGAAAAATTGAACAAGTAGGGATAGAGGGAGTACTTATGATCAGTCAAATATTTTAATTGCTTGCTTTCAAATCGTATATCTAAAATTTGAAATAAGAAGATTTTACCGTGGTTGAACTTACAAAAATTTGCAATCTTATGCTTTGATATGTCTCGCAAATCTATATATAATATTAATCTTCTTAACCCCATTGTAACAGAAGAAATCAAGAAAATATTATTTGCATTCTTACATATTCTTCGCTAACACTTACATTATTTATTCTTTTTAACTTTTTTTGCACTCTCTTTTTTCAAATCTTTGATAGTTAAAGTAATACTCTGTCAAAAATATGAGTCAATAGTCGAAAAGTGTTGAACAAAGTGAATTACAAATTATTTTTTATTTCTTCGTAAATTTTCATATTAAAATAGGGTATACCAAGTTATCAACCTTTTGAATCAAATTCTATGATTTTAACTCTTATCTTAATTTAAGGTTTATCACCTTATTACTTCTAGAATTATATTAACACTTCATATAATAATTGACTCGATAATTAAAGGATGTTTTTCAATGTTAAATTGATAAAATCTTACCTAAAAATAATAATTTAAGAAAAATATTTGAAAAAATCATTTACAAAAATGATATTAAGTAATAATTTACATCTAAAAATTTAGAAAAATAAATCAATACAAAAAAAATTATTTACATTTTAGGCATTTAATTAAAATTTCAATTTAAGCTTCGAATTATGTTGAGCCGCATCTGAAGTTGGATAGTCATTCACTACAACTATCATGTGGTTGCACAACCCTTTGCATAACTAGTACAACAATACCAACAACTCTTCAATCCAAATACGTGGGGTTCATAAAAAATCAGTTGTTTTTGGATTGCAGTTGTTGTGTTTGAAGAAAGAAAACAGAGGAAGAAAGAACAGATAAAGGGCTTAAATTGGCAGTGAAACGTTTCGGGTTGGGTGGGGTCTTTTTATTTGATAAAGAAATTATGTGGACTAGCGAAAATTGTTTAGTTAAATTTCTGTGAAGGAAGGAGTATTAAACATTAAGGGCATTCTTAAATCAATTGATGGGAGAAGGATATTTTTAAGCTCTTTTTAATAGGTCATTTTAGAACTTTTTCCACAGAAAATATGATTTGATTCATGAATGTGCCCCACTCTTTAACCGGATGTTTGATTGAATATAAAACACGAATTTGATGAGTAAAAAAGACTTATTTATTTTAAAAATAAAACTTAGTGACATGCTAACTAGAAAACAATGAAATTTATTAAATATTTAGTATCTCTTTAAAAAAAATAACAATTGAGTTACTCTATTATTAGATAATCTAATATTCTCAATATTTTAGTGACCATTCAGAAATTCTTGGTCTTCTTTCGATAGTACAATGTTTTACAGTGTTTTCTCATAACAAAGGAAACCCCCTAGCAATTTCTTGCTTTTGATTTTTCTACTCTTGGAATTCAAGTTTCAACTCTTCCCCTGCTAGATGTTGACTTCCATTTTTTTCTTGTTTAATTAACTTGATTCAAATGAAATTTGGACATTAAAAATTACTTTAATCTTTCATATATTGAATTTCAAAATTGTTAATTATTTGTAATATTGAAGTTCAGTTATTAATATAGCACATGAAATTTGGACATTAAAAATTACTCTAGTATTTCATTTATTGAATTTCAAAATTGTTAATTATTTGTAAATATTGAAGTTCAGTTATTTATATAGCACATGGGAAATATTAATGATTTACACTCACAAAACTTTTTAAGTTTCTTTTTTTTTAAAAAAAAAAAGTCATGTTCAAATACAATTAATTACAAAATACTAGTCTTTTCCAGTTTGATAGTATATAAATATTTTCCACATGCCTATCAAGTGCCTGTCACTTTCTTCTCCATTTTACGTCTCTATATTCCAACACATAAATCACAATCGCACCAAATTATCTAATTCCAAAATGTGACTGTCTTGACTATAAGGTATGGAAGAGAAATTTAACAACCAAATTCGAAGTTTCCTACAAATTCCTCCGGAGAATTTTTTTTAAACATAGTCCCTTATTTTTGGGTTAAGACACAAAATCATTTTTGAGTTTTGTACATGGAGTAGTAATAGTCCCTCACGTGCACTTTAATCCTCTCCCAAACTTTTGCCTATTTTCAACATGAATTTCTCCACAATTTATGTATAGAATGTTCAATCATCTTTTTATACATTTAGTAAAAATAATAACTGCATATGAGAGAAGGTGAGAAGATAAACACCTTGTTTTGTTTAAAAGAATTGTTATTGCAGTTATCATCGAGAGGTTCATCACGTCATTTTCACATATAATAGTATAAATCTTTTCTTTCTTGCAACATCATATGTCAAGGTATTCTTAGTTTAGTTGCAAAAATATATTTACCAAACAGAACAAGGTGCTCTTCTTCTAACCTTCTCTCTCATACAATTATTATTTCCATTAAATATATTTAAAAATGATTGAATATTCCATACATAAAATTGTGGATAAAATCAAATGTTAAAACTAAGAATGCAACATAAATGACTATTACTGCTCCATGTAAAAATCTAAGAATGATTTTAGTCTTAACCCAAATATAAATAACTATTTTAGGCTTTTTCTTAATTCCTCCATGACGACCAAGTCAATATATAAGAAATATAATACATTATTTTGGTAGGACAAACTACATGTAAACCACAATCAATTTGCATTTTTTTCCAAACATCATCTAACGATGTGTCCAACTCAATTATTCTTCATCTCTCTTCTTCTTTTGTTCATCATCAACTCCAGTAGAGCTGATAATACTACGCCATTTGGTTATTGCCCTTCATCTGTTTGCGATAATGGACTTAATATTTCATATCCTTTTTGGAGACTTGACAAGTACAACTCCGCCTCTCCACAATACTGTGGTTATCCAGGATTCGGGATCAATTGCTCTCAAACTGATTCAATTTTGTACATTTCTGATGACTTTTTCAATGTTACGAAAATTGACTACGATAACTCCTCCCTTACCCTGGTGGATATTGATGGTGTTGATCACATAGGATGCCCGAGAGTACATCATAACCTTACTCTGAATGACGACTTTCCATTGGAATATTCGGAGCTTGATTTGTACCTTAATTTCTATTTCAACTGTACCGTTTCCCTTCCAGATTCTGCTGATCGGTTAGATTGCTTAACATCAAGCGGAAACAATTCATATTTTTATGTTGGGGGTCATGAGCCGGAAGATTTTAAGTGGTATGGAATTTGTGAGAAGAAAGTGGTGGTGCCGGTGATGGATGGTGGGTTCAATAGAGGAGTTGGTACGGCGATTGGAGAGGGATTCGTACTAGACTGGCAGATCGCAAAGGAGTGCAGAAAGTGTGAGGCATCAGAAGGGCGTTGCGGTTACCACAATTCAAAACACGAGTCGTTGTGCTTCTGCAATGATGGCACCATAAAGTTTGATACCTGCGAATCCCAAGGTACGCAATTTTTAACTCATTTACATGACTAGACTAATTTAGTAGATTTAATTTACCAGATGATCGACCTTATTTTCAGATATCTAATTTTTAGTTTAGGTAATATGATAAATGTAGATTATTTGAAGTTATTAGTGTATGAAAGTCAAAAGTCTTATTTATGGTGAGAACTGACAACTTTAGTCTAGCTATTGTCCATCAGTTAAACTTAACTTTTGGTTGGTGTATTATTTATTTATGATCAAATGGTTGACGCAAAAAAATGTGGGACTTTTTCCTCTCAATCCCTTTCAGGCCTTAGGTGTTAACTAGGACAGTCATTAACTGAGATCATACGTCAACTATTAGGGATTGTTTTGTTTGAACCCAATAATACTTGGTAAAAATTTGGGGAAAACATGGAAACAATTTGGGAAATGGTATTTGGTCATATAACTCGATAAATATATTTGTCAAGTATTTCAAATTTTCAAATAGTAGATAAAACTAGTATTTGGACCAAGTTCTAATATTTGGAAATTTTAAAAAATTCAAAAACTACCCTAAATTTTTTTAGTTCATAAAAAATACTCATTATGTATTAATTTCAATTAATATTTGTTACTATCTAATTAGTTAAAAAATTAAATTAAATTTGGACTAATAGTATTCCTTAGACCAAAAGGTGAAAGGAGAGGTATCTTTGAACCAAAAACCAAAGGTGAAGGGTATTTTTAAACCAAAAGGTGGAAGGAAGATATTTATGAACCATTTTCAATAGATTAGGGATATTCTTGACCATTTTCCCTTTTTACAAATATATTCTACCAAACGATCCCTAAATTCCTTGACTAGCTGACTTTAGAATTTTGACTTTGTCTGAAAATTAGCCCTATCAGCATCTGGACGGATAGTTTTTACGGAAAAGGGTCAAAATTGCCCCCGAACTATATGAAATAGACCATTTATACCCTTCATTACATTTTGGGATAAAAAATGCCCCTGCTGTTATCCTAAGATACCACAAATACCCTCAAGAGTTAACACCCCAAATTTTTGTTGACGTGGCAAGCCACGTGGGACTAATCTTTCCACCTAAGCGTTGCCAACTAGGATTCACTACAAAAGAACTAGATCTTTAGCGGCAACAACAGTCGCCACAAAAGCCCAGAAAATCGTCACTAAAAGTTTTTAACATTAAATTCTAATTTTGTGTTTTTTTCTTCATTGTTTTTAAAAAACCAAATATGATATCGATTAAGTAGGAGTTTGAAGACACTATATGTTTTATTTTTATGTCATATGTAAATGTATAAAATGTACAATGATGCATTATATATATATAGTAGGAGATTTGAATCGAGAAGTAATTTTGATTATTTTTCGTAATAATATTGGATGTTTTTAATATGGATATTGCAAGTTATTTATTTTAGAAAATTAGGTTGCAATCGAAAATTAATTATCATATTTTTTTGTTGAAAAAATAGGTTTTACTAGCGAATGGTTGTTGGAGCCTTAGTCGCCACTAAAAATCACTCATAACCTTTAGTGGCAATATTTTGGAATTTTGTGGCGACTTTGTCGCCACTAAAAGTCAAGTTCTTTTGTAGTGAATCTTAGTTGGCAATGCTTAGGTGGAGGGATTAGTCCCATGTGGCTTGCCACGTCACTAAAAAATTGGGGTGTTAACTCTTGAGGGTATTTGTGGTCTCCTGGGATAAATGCGGGGTATTTTTTATCCCAAAATGTAATGGAGGGTATAAGTGGTCTATTTCGCATAGTTCAGGGACAATTTTGACCCTTTTCCGTAGTTTTTATTTTGCTGCTCAATAATTGCGTGAGATTACTTTTATCTCATAAGTGAATTCATATTTTACAGTTTTGAATACACATAATTTGGGTCCTATATATTTGTAAGATAAAAAGAAATTTCATATAACTATATATCAATTATATGAAGTAAAAATAAAAAAATTCACATCAACATTAATATTAATGCGTCGTCTAAAGTCATAACATCGGTGCCGAAGTTTCACAGCAATTCATGTTTGCTTTTCTCCTACTCAAACCGCGTTGGACCAACTTTCCAACAAACTATGTAAACAACCAAAAGCTAGAAAAATCTAGGAAGAAAAAGGATAATTTTAGAAATTTTCCCAAAAATTTGCTCCATAACACTTGACTTTTCTTGAGGTTTGTGATATTATATTAACCTTTTTTATTTTAATTTATTTAGAGATAAGTGTCAAAAACATATTTTTGAGTTTCATATTTAAACTATTGGGAGTGTGAAAACGCATCTAAACTATCATTCATTAATTTGAGAAACAAATATCAATGTTGATTAGGATTCGATGAATTTTTGCTAGTTTACAAATATTACATTGAAAATCTGAAATATCTAAATTGGAAAAACAAACTTGGTCCAAGTGTCTTAAAATAACCAAAAAGAATTGTGTCCTAGTCTGCTATGCCACAATCATATTTTTCTTTAGCCTTCTCAACACCACTTGTATGACTTGCACACCCAAATTTATGTTCTCCACTAATCTCAGTCAACTTCAGATAGTATAGCTTTAATTTCCCCGTTTAACATCATAACCAAGAGTGTGGGTAAAAATGTGTTAAAAGATACAAAATAGGGCCAAAAAGTTACGGTACAATTAAGTGAAGGTAATTTAGCTTACAGACAATAAATTATTTTGGAGTGAGGGCACCACCAAAACAGTATCAAGTGTCAAAGTACTTGACAACTCAGCAGATCCTTCCCACACTATATTACAAGTGTTTTTAAGCAATAAAAATAACTTGTTGCGAGGATGGATGACTGGTTTGTATAACTTATTAGAGTCTCTAGTCATATGATCGGATGCTCCTATGTTAATAATTCATGTATTTTTCTTGGAAATGATATGAAAAACATCAACCTTATCAAAGTTACTCGGTTAAGCCACATTAGTTGTAGGTTGTGATTGTTCCCTTTGTGTGACTATTATTGTTTTACTTGTCAAGTTCTTTCGTGATTTCTTTGAAAAATCTCATCATATTGGATATCCAATAATCGCATAGCAACGTTGTTTGGTATGCCTTTTTTCACCATGATGATTGCAAATAAAGTTTTTTATTTTTCCTGATGATGGAATGCTTCGACTCTTTTGTATATCACATTGAATCATCATGGTTGAACTTTCATGGACTGGTCTAGATCTTTTCATGATTTGTCTTTGTTCTGCTTCTCTGCTAACATACACATAACAACTTTTCAATTTCAAGTTAGGATCCTTTGCAAAATCTCACCATGAATTTAATCAAATTCCAGATCAAGTCTACTAAATGTGTGAACTCAAAGCCTGGACATCATGGAATGTAAATGTACAATCCCTTCCAACAATGTCTTTTGTGAAGCTGTCCAATGGTCAATTTGCTGAAAAATTACTACAACTTCGTTATTATCACAATTTGAGATTATCCCTTAATCGTAATACAGTGCTTAGAGCAACAAATGACCCCAAAACTAACTCATAGTTTAGCATAACACAAAGATATACACACGTAAAACTGAAATATGGTTGCGACAACAAAATTTGAAATGGGTTTATTAAACTCAAAACAACATGTATATGAGTAAGCATAAGCTAAAGCTAATGTCACTGTCTGAAAGCCTCTACTATTATAAGTTTCTAGGACAAGCCCTTAGCTAATTCTAACTGTCTGAAAATTTAAATCATAATAACTGAATGAAATATAGAGTTCATCCTCGAAAGATGAGGATTCACCAAAAAAACTACTGAGTTAATCTGAAGTTGTACTAATCGCGACCTGAGCGCTGAACGCCCAAATCTATATTATCAAACAATATTGCGCGAGAGTATGTGGTTGGTACTTTAAATGTGCTGAGTATGTAGGATATGCATGATAAACATAATAACTGGACATACTGAATCTGAAATGTTATACTGAATAACATGAAATGATGCACTAACCAAGTGGTAAAACATGCAACTAAAACATACTGAAAACTATTATAACTAGCTACAAGGTCATGCAACATATGAGACTAAACTATGAAAGATACTATAAACTGACATATAACCATGAGCTACAACATGAAATTAGGCTAATGTCTATCAGAGACTAAGGAGTCATCATGGTTTGACGGGTGATCCTTAAAATCGTATGGTGACACATAGTCCTGTGACTTATAAATTACTACTAAAGGTCTTAGTCCTTAATTAATGGGTGAGCCTTCATCCCTAGATCCGCTCAGTTCTAAGTAAAACTCCTAAAAAATATGTTAATTAAGCAATTCGACTAAAAACACTGAATTATACTGATAAACTATAACAACTAAGTAGCTCACGAATTCTGATAAAAACTAATAATTCTAAGTGACATTTTATCTAAAAGTATCTTGAATAATGTAAAAAAACTGATGATATAAGATATGCATTTTCTACACACTAAGGTTTCATAAAATTACCATATACAATACTGATTTAATAGGTGAAAACACATAATGTAAGCTATTTATGAGAAAGACTGAGAGAATAATGAAGAATCGTGTTTTTCATAAAATCCTAACTGGTATAGAAATCATGAATGGCAAAATTAGATTTTCTTTGAAACTCAATGGGTGAAAGGATACCTATTTATGAATATAAAAAGATCTCACATACCTGGAGAGAAGAAACCATCTTGAATCTTGAACTGAGGCTTGACGATGAAGAATCTTAGTTCTTGCTTAAGAGTAACCTTGAACGTACTAATTTTAGATTCTAGGAGTTATGTGTGAGAGGAGAGGCTTTGGTCAACTGATTTTTCTTTAATCTCACATAGGATAGACTATAATGACATAGTTTAAGGATTAAAAGAGTGAAAAAAGACCAACATGACCCTGACAAAACTGAGTTCATCAGCTTCCATGAGACCATCTATGGCCCGTGGTTTCATTTACGGTAGATCACGTCCGTGGAAGTTAGGCAATAATATCGGGTTCTAAAGTTTCATTTATGGGGTGCATCTACGACCCGTAGCCCCTTTTACAAGTTGT